AGAAAGAAAGAAAGAAAGAAAGAAAGAAAGAAAGAAAGAAAGAAAGAGAAAAAAAGAAGGAAGATAAAAGAATATAGTCATTAGCATGATGGATTCTAGGAACTCAGACAGCAACAGTTTTATTTTCCAGTAGCCCAGGGTCATTTTCATGTTCACCTTTTTATTTGCTTTTCATTAACTTTTGTACTAAGTGTACAAAATAACGGGTGTGATAACACTTGCACATACTTTATATCATTGTCCTTTGCCCGTATTCACACCCATCCCCCTTCCTTGTGCCTCTCCCAAGTGACTTTTTTTTTTTTTTTTCAGGACTGAGCATACAAGCCAGAGCTTGTACATGCTGGACAAGAGCTGTACTGCGAACCTCCCAGCCCTTTGCAATTCCAGGTTTGAGTAGACTGTGATGTTTTCATTTTCTTTTTCTGTCTTTCTTTTTGTTTTGTTTTTTTGAGACAGGGTTTCTCTGTGTAGCCCTGACTGTCCTGGAACTCACTCTGTAGAGCAGGCTGGCCTCGAACTCACAGAGTGAGTTCTGCTTCCTGAGTGCTGGGATTACTGCCTGGCTATAAGATGTTATCACACGTGTACAGGTTACATACATGGCATTTGTGTTTTCTCTTGTCATGCTGGGGCTCAGACATGATACATGCTAAGCAAGTAGTCCTCCACTTACGTGCACTCTTGGTCCATTAACTTTTTCATTTCTATGTTCTACTTGCTTCCTATTGGAATGGTGTGTGTGTGTGTGTGTTATTATATGGATGTCCTTGTGTGTACACGCATACATGAGTAAAAAAAAGAAATAAATAAAATTTATTGTAGATAGAAGGGAGAACATAGGTAGAGACAGGGACATCTAGGAGAGTCCAGAGTAGACATGACCCTGAGCTGTGTGAGAAGAGGTGGAGGGAAAGAGAGGGGGAAGAAAATGGTACCAGGTGCAGCAGCCAAGAGGACAAAGGTACCATAGGGGTGAGTAACCAAAATGGCTGGATTATAGGGGAGAGCCTCTGGGGGAAGGGCAGCCCA